TTTGTTGTGCTTTTGGCAATTTAAGAAAGGGTGTGAATACTTTTGTAGCTCCATGAGAGTTGACTTCACTCGGTATTGAATTACAAACAGAATTTGGAGTAAATATAGAGTAAGAGATCAGTACAGATATATACAGTAACTTTAAGACTGCTTATTCCAGTGTATAAAGATAGATGTAATGAATGATACACTCATACATTAACACCCTTTGTTTTCTATAGTCCTGGCAAATAGAAGAGATGGTTTCTCATCTGCGATGCAGAACTTTGCAGGCACAGCCTTTCTGGAGTACACAGCAGAGCAAGGCAGGGACGCTCTGCAGTATCGTGCCCCCGGCGCTGATGAACGCCGTTATCCGAGGAAGCTTTGCTGCTCGTTAGTGTTTTCCCTCGCGCAGCCTCTACACTTCATCTCGAAGGAAATTGCTGTTTTTTTTTAATTCTAACTTTTGTTAACAGCCAGACATTAGTGCCTTCACCACCCGCCCCCTCCTTTAACACCCGTAAGACAAAATATTTGCCTCAGCTGCATGTTTAATGTGGTTTCTCCGTCAGGAATTATGCCGGCCCTAAGGGTCCGGCGCTATTCCTACATCCCAGCGATCCCACTGCAGCCGGAACAGTGCGACACTACTATGGGAGGCGGCCTGACACGTTGGGATCTTCTTGCACACAAGGCCATCGGTGCACAGAAGGAACACAGGGGTGAGGTACAAAATCCATCCACCTTCTAACGGCTTCTTTCAATTCAGACTCGTGGACGAGCCAGCGCCTATCTCGGTGAGCAACAGACGAGGCAGGTACACCCTGGACAGGACACGCAGGCACAACACACTCACAGCAGGGCTAACTTTCCCAGAAGCCAATTCACCTACCAGCATGGCTTTGGACTGCGGGACGAAGCCCACACAAACCTGGGGGGAACATGCAAACTCCACACAGACAGCGCCCCCGGTCTCGAACCCAGGGCCCCAGCTCGGCAAGGCAGCACTGCTCACCGATGCACCACCCTGCCGCCTACAGTAGAAAATAGAAAGTTAAAATAAAGTGTGAATCCGAAACCCTGAGCTAAGCTTTGGCATTCCCCCACCCTCCTGGAGAGCATGACTGAATTTCTAACCCCCAGGGCTGCGTCGCTGACATTTTTTCAGCAGAAACTTCCTTGGCTGAGATCCTCCTACAAGCTTCTAGCGAAAGGGAAGGTCGCTGCACGATGAAGGTTCGGGAAGAAAGCAGATGGGCTACAGCAGAGCAAACAAACCGCAGCTGGAAGGGGAAAAAGTGTAGAAGGAGCCATTTCCTTGTGGGGTGCCGCTCAGGGGCTGATGGAAGATGAGCTCAAGGGTCACGCCGATGAAAGTCGGCTCTTTAGCTGGCCAGTCAGTAAAATCAGTAAAAAGAAAGAACATTAAGGGAGATGAACGCTTTCAGTCCCACACTTTTCCTGGTCCGTCACTAGCGTTGGCATTGATCAAGTCATTCAAGTAGTAGCTGCGTCAGGGGGACACCTGACGAAGGCTCCACAGACGAAACATTGTGTTTCTTTTCTTCTCTTTTCAACAGGGAATAAACCTTTACCTGCTCCTTTGATAAAGTCAGCTACACTACACTAGATCCCCTCAGCATCAATAGTGTAAGGCCAGCCCCGTAGATCCCCTCAGG